ATAAACTGCCGTTTTCCCAGCCACCATCAGTTCTGAGGAAGGGTCACGGGACCCGAAACGTTAACTCTGTTTTCTCCTCCACAGACGCTGCCAGATCTGCTGAGCTTTTCCAGCAACTTTGTTTTTGAAACTAAACAGAAACTGCTGGTAAAACTCAGCAAGTTCGGTAGCATCTGTGGGAAGAAAACAGAGTTTACATTTTGAGTCCGGTGACTCTATCAGAGTTCAGTTAACTCTGCTTTCTCCCCAGAGATGCTGCCAGACCTGCTGAGTTTCACCAGCAATTTCAGATATCCTTTCATTCCCAAAGAAGTAGCACTCCTATCCCAACTCTTTAATATCTTACTTAAACTGACTCCTTCTGGGAATACAGAGACAGTTTTACAACCTCTTTCCAATTCTGATGGCTAAAATCTCCTTTCAATTCTGGCAACTTAAAATTTCTACACAGGCTTCACAGTTTGGAGAATTCACAAACTAAAACCATTCTACAAGAGTGACTGAGATAACAAGGTGTAGAGCTGGATGAACACAAAGGGCAAGCAGCATCAGAGGAGCAGGAAGGCTGACGTTTCGGGCCTAGACCCTTCTTCAGAAAATGAGTGACAAGAATGAGTACAAGAGTGACTGTTCTTCTGCACCGAAAACTTGATTCTTTGCTGGGAGAAACTGTTCTTCTGAATTAAAGTCCAAGCTCAACTAGTTGCCTCTGCTCCACTTTTTCTGTTTATACTGCTCAGTTAACATCGGAATCTGTTAATTAACATCACAGGTATCTTGCTAGACACTTAACTGAAACATGCTTCCTCTGAAACTATGTACTTAGGTCATTGCTTCAAAGGAAGTTCGGATCTCTTTAAAAAAGGAAGTCATTGTCACAAAACTGAAATCAAAATTCACCCATCTCTATTTCAAAAATACATTCCCAATTAATAACATAACATAAAGCTATATCAAAGTAAATCATGTGGTTAACTCATTTCTGTCTACTCTTATATTGCCTTATACTCTTTTAAGGCGAGATGTAAAGTGTGTGAATTATATATTAATATCATGTATTGAGAGTTTGGATTTTGAATAGTGGCATTGAGTTTGGTTTGTGTTTACCAACAGGTTTAATAGGTAACTTGTCAGTATTTCTGGAGCCATGATTTTAAACCAGAGAACAGTGGCACACCTTATGTGATACTGAGAATTTGTTTGTGTTGAGAGAGTTGGGTGATCAAAGTTGGGTAACCATTGAAACGCATTAGCTTGCTTTTGATTTAAAAAGAATTCAGAATTCATTTTTCTCCAGGAAAAACCCTTAGATTGGAAAGCTTTTGGAGCAGTTTGCAGAAGGCCTGGCTGGGACCAGATGGAAGAAAACTGGAGAAAGTAAAAGGAGTTAGTTCAGAATAGTTAGGAAATAGTGTACTTCAGCATAAGGGTTTCAGTATGAAAATTCCAGGAAGTGTTTGGTTAGAACCCCAAAAGGGTTATTTGAAGCTAAAAAAATTAAGAGCAGTTGTGTGGGTAATCAAGGAAAACTCTCAAGACTGGGAATTAAAAGAAGTACAAGTCAAACTTATTGATATGCTAGAGAAGGAAACTCTCTGGTATTGGATTACTCTAAAATGATGTTGCTGGGATAGCTGAGATTTTATTTTTCCCTATGTTTTGACATTTTTCAAACTGTGTTAAACATAAAGAGCTTGGTTTGTTCTATATTATCTTTATTTAGTATAAAGATTTGATTGACTGTTAAAGCAAAATCTGGGGCCTGTTGTACTTATGTCAATTAGAAAGCATCATATTAAATAAAAATCAAAATGTGATCTATCAAGCCAGATTTCAGTCTCGTAACTAACTTGTCCACTAGTTATGTCAGCTAGGATGATAAAGGTCACGTACCGTTATTGTATTCTACATATCATATGAACATTGTAGAGCAATACATTTTGAGGAGGCTTTTTCCTCAGTTAGGTCTTCCCAACAGCTAGTCTTAACTAATACCTCAAGTTAACTTTGGCATTGCCATAGGTTGCATATCGTTACATCAGGAGATGGTGGTGTTAACTTGGCAGTACAGCAACATGAAAGCAACTTTTAAAAACAGGAATGTGAACTGGGCAAGCAATTATTTGAATGACAGCCAGTGATTAGTGGGTACTGTGGGATCATTGCTTGGACCTCAGCTAATTATAATACATATTAATGCTTTAGATGAGGAACAAAATGTAATTTCTCTGTTTGCAGATGACACAAAGCTGAGTGGAAGGGTAATTGTGGGGAGGAAGAAGAGATGCTTCAGTGTGATTTGGACAAGTTGAGTAAGTGGGCAAATGCATGGCAGATGAAGTAGGATGTGGATAAATGTGAGGTTATCAACTTTAACAGCAAAAACAGGAAGGCATATCTGAATGACGACACATTGGGAAAGGGACGGGTGCAATGAGACTGGGTGTCCTTATACACCACTCGGTGAAACGAAGCATGCAAGTGGTGAAGCAGGCAGATGGTATGTTGGTTTTCATAGCAAGAGGATTCAAGTACAGGAGAGGGATAGCTTGCTGAAATTGGACAGGTCTTGGTGAGACCACACCTGGAGTATTGTGTGCAATTGTGGTCTCCTTATCCGAGGAAGGATGATCTGGCTATGGAGGGAATGCGATAATGGTTTACTAGTTCTAAAGAAGGGTCACTGGACCCGAAACCTTAACTCTTATTTCTCTCCACAGATGCTGCCAGACCTGCTGTGATCTTCCAGCAATTTCAGTTTTTTTTTCAGGTTTCCAGCATCTGTAGTTCTTTTGGTTTTTTTTACCAGACTGATTCCTGGGATGGCAGGATTGACGTACGAAGTGAGTCTGGATCAGTTACGGCTATATTCGCTGGCATTCAGAAGAGTGAGGGGTGATCTCTTGGAAGCCTATAAAAAAAAAACACAGGAAGGATGTTCCTGATGACTGGAGAGTCCAGACCAGGGGTCACAGTTTAAGGATACAAAGTCCTTTAGGACTGGGATGAAGAGGAGTTTCTTGACCTCGAGCATGATGACCATGTGGAATTTTGTGCCACAGAAAGTGGTTGAGGCCAAAACATGGAATGGTTTCAATGAGTTAGATATAGTTTGTAGAGCTTAAGGGACAAAAGATATAGGATGAAAGTGGGAACAGGGTACTGAGAGTGATCATCAGCCATGATCATGTCAAAGGGCCTACTCCTGCTCCCGTTTTCCACCTTCACAGAACCAGTCCTAATATCCCAGGATTCTGAATTCCCCTCTCCTACACCATCCCCCCAGCCACATATTAATATGGTAAATCCTGTTATTTTCACTCCCACCAGCACAGGGCATTGGAAGTAATCTTGACATTACCACCTTCGAAGCCCTACTTTTTCATTTTGTCTTAAATCCCTATGTTCTGCTTGCAGGACATCATTCATTTTTTTTATCTATGTTGTTGGTACCAATATATACCCTGACCACTGGCTGTTAACCCTACCACTTAAAGTTCTGCAGCTGCTCCAAGACATCTTTGACTCTAGCACCAAGGAAGCAACATACCATTCTGGAGTTTCTTTTGGGATCACAGAAATACTTGTCCATTCCCATACTTTTGAATACTCTATCACTCTAACCCTGCCATTCTTTTTCCTCCCACCTTGTGTACCACAGCCACTCATGATGCCATGGACTTGGCTTCAGTTGCTATACCCGGAGAAGTTGTCCCTCCCAACAGTATCCAAAATGCTATATCTGTTACAGAGAGGGTAACAGCTATAGGGGACTCCTATACCACCTGCCCTCCTCTCTGTCTTATGGTCACCCATCCCCTTTCTGTCTGTTTGGTCTTTACCTGTGATGTGGCTACCTCACAGAACATGCTTTTCACAATTATCTAATCATAACTCGTGCATGTCAGTGAATTACTTATACAGCTACCCTCACATGTGCACCTCTTTTTTTTTAAAGCTCAGGATCCAACAGAGTTTATAATATCTCGACAGAGTAGGCCACCATGTTGAGCTTGCACAATAACTTGTATCTACGGTTGTGCACCACTATTCAGTCACAAACATTGTCACTTCTTGGTGTCAGGTGTGGCTCAGTTAGTAGCACACACATAATTCAGAAAGTATTTAGTTGGCTACAAAGTGCCTGGAAATGCTAAGGTTGTGATACATGCTACATAAATGCAAATTAATTCCTCCAAAATTTCACAGTCCTCAAACACCCAGATGAGCACATGTCCAACAAGAGTTCCTGAATGAAGCCATCAAATGTAGAAAATCTGCAATCTTTCACCCCAGATGTACTGAGGCTAAATAGAGAGAGAACATGCATTTATATAACAACTGGCATAATTGAGTATCCCAAATAATTTTAAAGCCAATGAAGGACTTTTGAAATTTTCATTATTGAAATGCAAGAAAGGTGTTCAGCAATTTATTTGCAACAAGGTTGCCGTAAACCAGCAAACCAGCTCGGTGAGCCAACCAACCTCAATGCCCACAACCCGAGCTACAAACAGACAGACAATCAGATTATCTGTTTTAATATGGTATTGATTGAGGGATTAATGTTGACCCGGACCAGGAAGACACATCTGTTCTTCAAATCGTGCCTTATATGTTTAAGCAGCAAAGACAGGAGACAGATTTAACAATGATACACTGGTGCCAGTCTACATAAATGTACTTCAATATTACATCATCTTCTGGCTCAGAAGACGTGGTGCTCCCACTGAGCCAAGGTTAATTTTATTACACAACGCCCCATAAATAATTCTTTCTTAAGTAAATTCAACAAAGTGCGCAATGTGCTATATTCCTTCCTAATCATTACAGTTCACCCACATTCTCCAGTACTGTGTTACGTGCACTCTCTGAAGCTTGACAAATCAATTCTGAAAACAGTAGACCTTACTGCATCTTCAAATAGCAATTAGCATTGAAAAATGTCAACTTGCCAGTATAAGCCAGTATTCTTACACTAATGTTTCAAGCGAATGTGCACCACGGGACACCCTCTCTCCTTTATCATACAGCTTAACCTTACTTAACGCTCCAACAAAAATACACATAGAATCCTTACCTGTTTTCGCATGTTGTTCATGACACCCATAAAAGTTGCTAGGAGCTTGGCTTCCTCTCTGGCTGCGAATTTCTTCTCACTTTTCTTCTTGATGGAGCTTTTCTCTGCGCCCACAGACGCCATGACAACATTGAGGGAGACTATGACTCAGGTCAGGTCGGTGCCAGGCCACGCTGACACCAGTGATCAGGGACAATTCAGACACACCGAGAGGATATTTCGATTACGTGTACCTTGAGGGAGTTAAAATGTCACCACGGGGCCTTGGGACAGCTGCGGAGACGTATCGACTGCCGGGTGCATTCGCCCACGCTCCCCAGGGGGAAAATAAGCTGTGAAAGGAAACATCTAATTCTAGCTTTCCGAGGGAACGAGCCGCACCACGGAGCTTTGGTTTGTCACTGCAGGGGGTGCCGGCAGGATTTGGAGTTGTGTTTGCGACAGCAGCAGAAACCCTGTGTCTCCGCCTCCTCAGCCGGACACCAACAACAGGGCAACGAACAAGGCGGACTCTCGGAAAGAGAAAGAAATGTCGAGCTACGAATAAAACCCCTCGTCAGCTGCTCACTGGCGCCCTCTCAGGATGTCCCGACACCGAAGGCAATGCAATTCGAGGCGTCCAGAGCTCTGCTGCCGAAGAGTCGCTTCAACAACCTTCACAAATGCACAGCCCTTTATTTACTTATTTACGGCCGACTTATCCTCCCGCCGCATCTTTCAGAAATCAGTGCATTGGTGCCGAAAAACATCGCCATTTCTTTCTATTTGCATCTGCAGGCTGTCAGGAAGAGGCAAGGATGGACACTCTATCCACGTTGATTTAGCGGAAAGTGACTTGCAATGCAGATTACAATACAGCTTAACACAGTAAAAAACACGAGATGATCTCGAACCACAAAATGGCTAGAAGAGTCAAATTGGTCCCAGGCCGCAGTCTTGGAACAAAAACAGAAGTTGCTGGAAAAGCTCAGCAGGTCTGGCAGCGTTTGTGAAGAAAAAGTCAGAATTAACATTTCGGGTCCGGCGACCCTTCCTCAGAACTGGAAAACGTTTCGTTTTCAGGAGTTGCTGAACATGATCCACAGCTCCCACTCCCCAAATAATACTGGATGAAGATTACAAGAGGAGTTTCGTTCTCGGAGAGTTTGGCGCCCTTGGATGGGCAGGTGAACACTGCAGTTTTTAAATATGAAACAATAGATGTCATTTGCAGGGATGCGAATACAGTAGTATATTTGGATCATCATGGTATCTGGGAGATGATAACGCTGTACTAACTGCCAGGAAAGTGAAGGGTTAATTTCCACAAGGGTACTCCTGATCGTCCATCCTAACTTTGGCAGGAAACCTGTGGAAACCCAGAGAATGATCTCCAAAATGCGATCACCCAAAAGACTGCGAGACATTCATTCTATGACACAGAGTTTGTATAGAAAGAGATGACAGAATTTACAAGTGATATTTAATGCAGGCAAAGGGAGTGTCATCGAATACAAGAGTAAACAGGTTAAGATGGAGCTGTATATAACATTAGTTAAGCCACAGCTGGAGTACTGCGTGTAGTTCCAGTTGCCACTCTATAGGAAGGATGTGATTGCACTAGAGAGGGTGCAGAAGAGATTCATCAAGGTGTTTTGTCGGCTGGAGTGATTCCGCAATGAAGAGAAATTAGATAAGTTGGGATTGCTTTCCTTTAAGCAGAGAAAGCTGAAAGGGGATCTGATTGAGGTGTACAAACTTCTGACGGGTATAGATAGGGTAGATAGATAGAAACTTTTCCCCTTGTAGAGGGATTAATAACTGGGGGCATGGTTTTAAGGTAAAGAGAAGATGGTTTAGAGGATTTTGAGGAAATATTTTTCATCCAGAGGTTTGTGTTCACTGCTTAAAAGGGTGATAGATGTAGAAACCATCAAGATATATAAGAACTATTTCGATGAAGACTTGAAACACCATAGAACAAAACAAGAGGTTAAGTGCTAGAAAATGGGGCTAGGAAAGATGGATGTTTGGTGACCAGTGTTAACATGAAGGGCTGAAGGACCTCTTTCCAGGCTGTTAAAACTCCATGATGATGACATTACCGTCCTTCAGGAAGATCTGTCAAATTAAGTGTCTATTAAGATGTCTCTTTTGTCACGTGGTTTTGTGCCCACACCTAAGAGTTGGGACTCAAGACAAACTGGTTGAGGAGAGGGCAAGGTCAAGAACTGTTTTCTTATACTTCTTTAGAACACAGTTTATTGCCTATTAATACTAACTACTCTTGTACATGGTCATCTACAATATACCAGGCTCAAAACTATTCAGTACATGTGTTTCTCCCTATATATCTCACACATGCATATCTCTAACCAGCTCTGCCAACACTGTGGTATTTATGCCTAATGAGGAGCATCTCCATGACATCATCACACATTGCTCCAGGGTCCATAAGTCCTTACACAACCTGAGCAATGTCAGGCTTTTCCCAGATCTCTGGAATCAGAAATCCCACCCTCAGGGTCTACTGCTGTTGTATGTTGTGGATCACATCAGGGATAGACAGGGTAAAGGCAAGTAAGATGGTTCCTCTGGTTGGTGAGTCTACAACAGGAGAACAATTTAGAAATAAGGAGCTTTCCATTTAGGACCAAGATGAGGCAAAATTGTTTTACTCAGTGTTGTGAAGGACTATGAAAGCTCAATCTCTGAGTATGTTTAAAGTAGAGGTTAATAGATTTCTAATTGCCACTGGTGTAAAGGGTTATAGGGATAGTGGGTGGTGCTGAAGTATTCGATCAGCTATGAGTGTAATAAATGACAGAGTAGACTCAATGGGCTGAATAACCTATTTCTGTTTCTATGTTCCTAAAGAATGGTGGCGGCTAAGGTGAGATGTGGGTGATAGCTGGGATTTGGTAACAGAAGAACAAGATGATGATTAATCAAGTTTATTCACATAAAACTATTCATTTAATTAGTTTATAGTAAAATAACTGACAAATCTAAACTATACTTAAAGAATGCTGCTTCATGATTAAATCTTGCCTGCTGAATTGCAGTGCTTGAAATTTCTCAAACAGTGCAGAACAAGTACCCTTTAACATCAAATTGCTGCCTTCATCAAAATGATTGATTTTTTCAAAAGCTGGAAGTAGGTAGATTAAAGGGAATGTTTCATGTATATTATTTGATCTTGATGCCATAACTTATTAAAGTGATACAGTTGATATATTTACACAAAATGAAAGATCAAGAGTTGGGTAATTACTGCAATAGCTTCTGCAGATGTACATTGTTATAAAACCAGAAATTCTTAAGAATATGTAAGATAAGTATTATGAAGACCATATATTAAAATATGGTGGTTGATCTCTAAAATGTTCAAAAATCCTGCATACTCCGTTTGTGTAGTGTATAAGTGTTTTGCAGAAAGAATAAGATAAAGATCCAGAAAAGGCCTTTCAGCTTACTGATACTTGAAAATATTGTATCCTACCTTTCACGGCTGAAAATCCTACATTTCGAACACTTCTAATGCTTGCAAGTCTGCCACCATTCTTGTAAGATTATTTTGGATAATTTCTCTTCAGTTGATATTCCTTGTATGCTGCCTTAAATCTGTCAGTGATTTATAGAATTCTACTTGAACAAACATGATTTACTCCTAAGAAGTTATTTGCATTTATCCAATGGAATCCTTTAAACATTCAACATAAGAGTTACTGTCTGTTTGCTCTCCTGAATCTACAGTAAATGCATTTCCAAAGTTTTTTTCTCAAATTTCATCTTTATGTAACAATTCATCATGATCTTCCCCACAATAATTCTAAAATTATTAATATGTTTCCTACTTGTCAACAGGGTCTACATGTCAAAAGCACTTGATTTGTTGTAAGTGCTTTGAGATATCTTGACATTTTGAAAGGTGCTAAGTAAATGCAAATCTGTTTTTTTTTGATATTGAACGTCCCTTTTATAGCATGGCAACAAGAAATAAATGCCATGTAGTCTTACTTGTAGATTGGACAGCCTGACTGAGCATAGTTTCTGTGGACTTGTAATATTTTTGATTATGATTATAATTCTTTTGTTACTGCATGTTTAGACAGCATTAGAACAGTCATTCCTACTAGATCCTTTTCTGTGTCACAGAAACATTTTGCAAATGTTTGATTCTTGCAACATACATCACATACAAATGTCTCATGCAAAACCTTGTCAAACAACAAACAGCTTCTGGAAATCTAAGTGAACTATAATAAGAGCAATTCCCCTGTCTACTTCATCCATAATATAGTCAGCACAGATCCCTGCAGGACTCTACTCCTCATGTCCTGACAGTGCTAATCAGAAATAGACTCATTTATGCATACTATCTGTTTTCAGCCAGCCAACCAATCTTCTATCCATGCTAATATGTTACCCCTACTCCAAACCTCCCGCTTTGTGCAATAACCTTTTTATATGGCACTTTGTAAAATCCTAACTTGAAATCCATGTATAGTAAGCTTGTTCTGGATTTCCCTCCAACTGAATGAAATAGAACAAGCACCTCTGTAAACAATCACTGCTCAAAAGAGCCTAGTAACAAACAGTTATGTCATTAGTCATGTGATATACAGAAGGTCTTGCTTTAAAAACTTTCCAATGTCCACGTGAAATTTCAATGACCTCATTTAAAGAAATCACTGCAGGAATTTTCTCGAACATAAATCCATTTTCCACAATCCTTCAAAAATGAATTCCTCAGCAATATTAAATGCAAAGCATCTTCATAACACACTTACAAGGTACTTAATTAGCAGTAAAACATTCTGAGCCATCCTAAGTTTGGGTAAAGTGCAATTGACAATGTTTCAGATGGAAAAGCTGAAGACATCTTGTTCCCTTCAATCATCAGAAACCAAACTTATTAGCAAACAAATCAGATATTGTTAAAATAAAATAAAAGTGGCAAGATTAAAATCCTGATTTTTCTAATGTTGGAAAACATTTCAGTAAATTGACAGTCAAACTTAATGCTTTGAAAGTTTTCAGGGTTTTGTTTTCCACACCCATCTCTGACAAAGTCAGTCACTGTACCATCAGGAAGAAGAGTAACCTTTATCATTCATTGACCACTGCACATGGAATAGCAGTCAAACATTTCCCAAATGCCTGTAAATGTGCCCATTACATCTACATAGTACCTTTGAAGAAAGCCTTTACCTCCTCCAATGCTTCTTTTTTGAATGGTCCTCTACAGTTTTTAAATTCCCTTTTTAAGATACGACCAGAGTATTCAACGGACTTTTTTTTTGTGATATGCACGATTCAACTTATGGCATCTAAAGATTCTCTTCTGTGCCTTTCTGTTGGTTCTTTCTTAGTCAAATTCTAGTCTGCAGTGCAACCTGGGTAGACCCATCCCTGAGTTAACTCAGAATTTTGATACAGTTGAAGCCAGAGAGAATCCTATTTGGAACATTTAATCAATTGAATTAATTATTATTGAGGCTTCCCTTGTTTCAGTTTAGACTGCTCTTTGGCTCACAAGATGTTGAAATACATGGGCATAAATTGCAATTCAATGTACTTTGTCACCAGTCATCATGCAGGGAAAGAGGTAAAAGTTTTCCATTCTGGGAGATGCCCAGTCAATCTGAGAGATTTAGCAATCCTACCTTCACCTGAGTAAGTAAGTCATTCAAACTGGTCAAGAACTCAAATTATACATTCCAATGATAAATTTAAAATAATCCAAGAATATTTTATTTGTGTTCCCTTTGCTGTCTTCACAACGAGAGCTTTTCCTCCCCACTTCTTACATTAGTTTTGAGCTTTATTTTTTATATCACTATGTTTTTCTAAATTTCAAGCCCTCTATTCAACTTACAGCTTTTTTTAATAATGTGATTCTCCATAATTTTCACAAATTGCACATGTTGACTGCCTTTTATACCCTTACTCAAAGTCCCCAGATGGTGCTTCTCTTTGCATAGTGACTGACTCAGCTGCCTTCCATCTCTGAGAAATGGTCTGGCAGATTTTAAAGGTGCCCTTTCTTTTTCTCAATTCGGATGTCGCTATGAAATTCCAGCTAATTTACTTCCATCCATAAAGTATGAGTTCATTGAAATTTTATGCTACAGTTGATCATTTGAAAATTGACTATGTCTAATGTTTGATTTTTAACTGTCTT